TTTGGATAAAATGAAAAGATAATAATAAAAAGTAACAAAATTCTTCAGTGCTATAGTGGAAGAAGAAATCTTAACAAAATAGGGCACTAACTTATTCACAAAAGTATCTATTTCAAAACCAGTGTATCTCAAGTGATTATTTATATTTATAAAATACACATATAGTGAAAACTCTTTATAACGAAAAACTCTATATTACGTAAATACTATTAAGTTAACTTATAACGGCTGGTTTGATTTTAAACCTATTAATAATTACTCTCTATTACGAAAACTCTCAATATCGAAAGAAATCACATGGTCCCTTCAGATTCGTTATAGAGAATTTTCATTGTATTTTAATTTTGTTAGAACGTTCATTATTCTATTTTTATAATAATTACTTTTTAAACAACAAAGTTGAAATCAAATATTAATGTTCTATTTTTTTCAAAAATGTAGATAATGAATGTTAGAATTTTACAGTGAAATATTCAATACTTTGGACTACTTTAATATTCCAGCGTGAGCTTCCTGTACTATGCAAACTAATAAAGACTTTAATGTTGACTATTTATTAACACTAGGTAATTACTAATTAGTAATTAATTATTAAATATTTCATATTTTTAATAAACAAACCCTAGTTACAACACTGTATTTCTGTTTCAGAGTTGAACAAGTAATTTTTTTCTCTTATTGATATTTTACTGGTACAATTTAAATAAATGTAACATACACTCTCTCTAGATATAATAAGTTTCTGTTATAGTTGTCTATTATAGATGCAGTAAGTAATATCAAAACTTAAATTGATTTTTGCTTCAAGGTATATTTTCTTATTAAGTGGTTATAATAATATCATGTATATCCAACATTCTAATGACTATAGCTGTATTAGACAATATTAAATCAAAAGTTTATTATAATGTTTCAAGTCAAAGTAACCTACTACAAATTCTAAAGTTGAGTGGAAATGAAATATTTTCATTAAATCCACACAAAACATTTTGTTTGTTCAATACTAAGTTACTTATGGGGAGAAAAATTATTCATATGATATTGATTGGTTACAGTATACAGTTGGTGTAATTAGGAATTAATATGAGCTTACATTTTATGTACTTAACTTGTTTTTATATAACTTATTATGATTAATTTTAGTTTTGACAAACTCAATAATTTATATTAGATTTAAACATATATTTTAAAAATTAATATTTTTGTTAAATATACATAATATATTATTTTATATAGGCAACGGCAGTTTTTGTCAATTATTGTTAATGTTATGCCTTATGCAGTTATGCTGTTCTGCACAAATTGATATTATTTCACGATGGTAAACACATCGCGTGCCTTATTATAAAGTTTGTTAAAATAAATTATAGTACCGCTAATAATTGTGAAATAATAATAATAAAACGTATTACTAATCGAAATATGTTGTTGATTTTGTTAACCGATTTTCCCATTATTCCGTTGCCGTTCCTATACAGTTCGATACGAACCATCGAAATACCCTCGGGGATAATATAATTGAAATTATTGTGTGTTTAAATATTTAATGCGTGCACATACATGAATATACTCGTATTASAAATTTAAAATATCAAACACGCTAATCCGCTTTTTGTCGAAGTCTCGTCAAATGTTAAAAACGTATTTTTACTATTTCACATAGTTAGTATCTATAGAATTTATTTTATGTTACGCAAAAGACACCCCGTCGAAACTAAAATGCACAGCACGAGAAAAAACGAAAACGAGCAGCTGGAGAACCTGCTCAGCCAATATTTCAGAGCCGTACGTTATGTTTTCGAATTTCTACTAATAGTGTGGTACATAATTATTCAGCGCTGTAAGCGTTATCTATATACTTATCTATTTAATGTGAATTGCTTACTGCTCTATAGGTAAAGGTACATTCTATAATGTAAGAGACGAGGGATACGATTTTCCTTACTTTAGTTAACCGACTGCCGCGACTTAAAAAATGTCTTCGTACAAAAAGACGACAGTGTAGGGCAGGGCCTTGCGGTATGTGACTGTCSTAGCGATTTTATAGTGYCCGAAAATAAAACTTATATAGGTAGTTCGTATAAAGACGGATATTATGTTAAAAACTGCGAGCTAGAATGGCATGGATTGGAAACGATGGATTAATWCCCTTATTTGTGGGTATCTTTTTTAAATAATAGTTACCTATACCCAACATCTATGAACTAAATTCAGTATGAAACTATAATCACACATTTTCGATTAAATTAAAATAACGTATAGGTACACTCAAATATTGTGACCCATGAAAAATTTATGTTTGTTTTTTTTAGCTCTTGACACGAAAAAAGTTGACGACTCATGATCTAGCATCCGTTTTTCTTATTTATACGACTTAAATTGTATTACACCTCTACTGCAGACGTATAATTTGTTGTAGTTAGATAGMTGCCAAAATGCACTCTGCACTAAAAATTAAATAATATTAAAATCTGTGTGGTTGAAGAAAATATAAAATAATGTTTTTTTTTTGCTTGGATAATAAAATAAGTTTAATATTGAATGGAATTTTCGAAGAAATCTTGGGTAAAGAAGAACGAGGCGAGTTGTGTTAACAATTTGGGGTAGTTATAGTCGT